GTAATCTGGCGGTGATGTCACTGACTCATAGACTAATCTAGACCGCCAATTCCAATGTTACACCATAGGGCTGTTCTCGTTCGGAAAATAATAAACAGTCCGAAACCATCGGAACTCAATCGGAACCATGTGCAGTTCCATGGAACATGTAAAATGCCAACAGTTCTGTGGAACTACGCAGAGGAACATAGGCGTATCGAAGTAGAAAGGTTGGCAGGGGCAATAACGGCCAAATATCTGGACTGTCTGACGGGAACTATTAATCATTCCAAAATAACGTTATTTGATAGGTTGCTGAGGGGCAAACATTGTATTTTGTCAAGATTTGTCATATAAAACCAGAATTAGTGGGATCGTTCTCCTTGGAATCCGAGTTGAAACCGGAAAGAATTTCATAATTTTGTTTGGTGAAACTGTTGTGTGGATGTGGCAGGGATGGTCAGAGCTATGCTTATCAAAGGTAACCTAACAGATAGTTTGTGTGCCCCTCAAGAAACCATATGTCAAAATCACATGTTCTAGAATGGTCCATTCAGGTCTCAAAGCTTCCAAATACTCAGATATCAGAACTCCATTTCAGAAAACGGCAAATTTGCCTGTGGCTTCAATGTCCTGGATTTGCCTATAGAATCATCAGGAAGCCTTCTGCTGGCGTAAAATGGTCTGAACATAATTATCCTTCATAAGCAAGACACACTAAAGTCATCTCCACAAATTTATTATCTGAATTATCAGTGTCTGATAGGACTATCAATAGTCCATCATCAGCTGAAGCCTATATTTTTCAAAAGACAATTTGTGGAAGTGAAAAAAGGAAGCAACAATTGTTTTGTTGTTCTAAAATTGTTCTATCCGTCATTCGGTTGCCCCCTTACGAGCAACCCTCAGAAGTCTTCGAAAGTCTTGTGCGAGCAAGGAATGACGGGGGCCTTACCTTTTAACGTGTGATCCCAAACACTTTCTTAGGCCATCAGAAAAAGTCTGCGTTCGTGGGACTCGAACCCACGATCGTTACCTCGACGTGAATCGATATTGAAGCATCGAAGCACTGAGGTACGTCGGCCTACAATACTATTATACAATAGAATTTACATTGTTACAAATAATGAAGGGCAAAATGCCCATGGCCCAAAGGGCGGTTACCAACACTTGTTCATTCAAGTAATTACTTCAAAGGTGAATCGTTCAACTCAAAGACTTTATCGCACGAACCGTTTTCGAAATGAATATAAGCATATCCTGTCAATAACATGTCAATTTTGCCTACTTATTATGATTCGCTCAATACAATAAAATGTACCAAAATCCAATCTGGATCAGTAGTGGGGATACAGACAGCTTTTGCTTTCAACCAACCAATCCAACGACGATGCGGAAAATTCGTGTTAATGCACTTATAAGCCCCACCCAGTTATATCCATATTCCTCATCCAATACATTTTTCATTATTAAAAATAAAATAGCGTTCAACTAGTCGGGAGGAATCTTCTTGCGTATTCCATTATTATTAACTAATTTTGTCCAAGAAAAAAATTTAAGAGAACAATATAGAAAAATTGAGAAGCAATCAAGCTGTGGATTTAAAAAATAATACGTTTGATATGAAGGATGAATATCTAGAAAGTATTGACCACACCAAATTTCTAATTGATATTTCCAGTAGTGAGCGAGATATTTTTATTAATAGAAAAAAATAATTAAACTTTGACCCCCTGTAGATCCGCTACTGATCGAGATTGGACTCATGTTAATATAAACTTTTGTAGAAATTTTTAATACAAAAAATCACAAATGTGATATAATTTGATTATTTTTTTACCCCTACCACTCCACTTATTATTCTTTTGATCCATGACCTATGGGACACCCTGTATTGGATTGTTTGAATGAGAAACTTTTGGAATGTTCATCAAGGAAAGGTGCTAAACGATTTCTTGTGACCAGAAATATAACAATCCTAAACCACCTATCGTAAGCAGAATAATTTTAATTGAATAAAAAAATTCATATCAATTCAGGAGCTGCGGAAAGATAAATAAAAAAGAATAGGTATAACCGGTTTTGCACATGGTCACTTCTGGATATAATGAAGTTATTCTACCATTCAAAAAATCGGAAATATTATGTAGATTTCAATACAGAAATAGAATTTCTGATAATTATATCTAACTATATGTAAGTCTCGCGTGCCTCAAATCTTATGATCTAATCACATTTCTATACGTTGTCAATCACGCCTTCTCATTCAATTATTCGAACAACGTCCTGTGTATCAGAAATAAATAGGTAGTCTATTAATCGATGCCGAAAATACTCATCACAAGGAGAACTTGACATTTGCTCGGCATTTGTTACACCGCGAGGTATCATGGAATCTTGTAATTTCTTCACACATTATGATGAGAACTTCATTCCACATTCATCATACTCATGCGAGAATCATGAAAAATTTCATTCATCAGCATATTCGACAAGAAGTTTATAATTAGTTCATGATCACATCATCATAATATTTGTCACCTGATTTCAGAATCAATAATGTTATAATGGAATTATTTTTAATGGTAACGTGACAATGTTCTCTATTCATTAATAGGCATTGCTGGGTTGTTGACTAATAATTGAATCATTTTGATTAATTCACTTCATCACTCAGCTGTAGCAGATACAAAAATAAGTTCAAGTACAAGGTACCCCACTACGCCAAGAGGCATTTTTTGTCAGTAGCTCTCCGAGCCTGTGACGCCCGACATCTTGAAAGTGACTTAACAAACGTTATTCGAGTACCCGGAAAAATAAAAACCCGCCAAAATGCCGTTCAATGTTATGATACAGTTATGCAAGATCACAAGATCCAGTAAGTTGTTCCAGAGGAACTTTTACTTACCTTTGTTGAAACCTCTGTCGCCGAAAGACGCCCTGAGACGCCATATCATCACCGGAAAAAATGTCATCTCCAAAACCGAGCACTACATACCCGTTCTCGAGGAATACCAAGCTAGAGTTGCCAGAAGAAAGTACATGCCGAGAGGACTGGGGAAGAAAAGACAGCGAAAGAAAGCCAGCATGAGATACGTGACGCCGTTTCTGGACGAAGATTTAGATGGCCACACCCGTCTTAGGAATATGTTTGCCAGGAAATCCAAGGGTCGAGGTCAGTGTTATACTTACTATGTCCCGGACAAAAACTGCACCCTAGTTGTCCCCTATCAAATGGAACGGGCCATACGAGACAAAGAAATTGTAGACGTTATAATGGCCCAATGGACCGAGAAAATCGTGGTGATTCTGAGAGACAACTCCAAAATCACCCTACCGCTAGTCACCTACGACGGCACCTCGCCCTTCTACAGAGGAGAGGGTTGGACCAGGAAGGAAATCGAAGAAACACACCACCACGGCAGAGACACCATGTCCACAGCTCGACTTTTCGAAGCCAAGGAATCGGGAGTGGCGGAATGGGAACTAGAGATGATGAGGATGGCTTCCAAACGCAAGAAGAAGAACAGGGGAGAGGGGCACGCCGACTGGAAGGCCATGATGGCCGCTCAGGCCGACAATATAGATTGGAATAAGTTCGAGGATGACGCCCAACAGATGGTCCAAGAGCAAAATGACCCGGTGGACGACGAACCTATCCAGATGGAAGTCGACGATATGGAGAAGACTCGAAACGTACTCGAAAAGTTGAGGAATGCTGGAGATGACGTGCTGAGCCTGTTGCCGATGATGCCGGAGATCCCGGAGATCATCAATATCATCAAAGAAGAGGGCGAATTGGTGGAGATAGCGAACATTTCAGGTTTGAAGATCGAATTGCGGTCGAACAAAAGGGAGCGCTTTGTTCCCGGTCAGATGGTCAAGTCCGAGGACGGTGACTTGTTCGTGCCCGGGCAAACTGTGACGTCAGAGGAGGGGGTGGAGGAGTACACCCCTGGATTCACGGTGATGCTGGACGACGAACCAACGCTCATCCCGGGTTTGGTAATGGGCGACGATCCAAATAAAGCTGTCTTTCTGCCAGGGGAATCCACGATCACGCAATCTGGCGAGCTTCAATTCACCGAAACCGAAGACGATTACAGAATCGAGGAGTCCCCACCTGAGCCGGAGCCCGAGCCGGAGATAGAGGAGGTCGAATTGGAGGAGGAGCAAAACAGCGAGGAAGAGGAGATCGAGGCCCGACCGCCCCCGAAACGAGAAAAGAAGGAGTTAGTTTACGAGAGGCCGAAGCGACAGTTCACAGAGAATATGGGTCCCAAACACCGTGAAAGAGGCCCGAAAAAAGCCCCGAAAACGCAGTCCCAAGTGCCCGCCGTCGAGCCGACTGATTCCGCTTTGAAACGCAGCCCTACGGAATCAGTTCTCTACGATCTAACAGTGCCCCTTTTGGAGAAAGACTTGCTGTTGCAGCAGAAGGAACGCGTGGAAATTTTCACCGAGAAAAAGGCCAAGGAAGAGGTGTCGATCGATAAGAAGCGAAGAGAGATAAAACTCAAGGTGAAACAGATGATAGATAACAAACCGCCAAAACCGAAATACGTGCCTTTAGAGCCAGTGAAGAAAAGTGAAAAATTGAAGGAGCTCGAAAAAAGCATTAAAAGAGGTAAATTCTTTGACGTTGATCATAAGAAATACCTGAACAAGGAGAGACCGGTGGCTTTCAATTGGCTCGAGCGAGCTGAGTACGGGAGCATTTTTGATACGGTGGGGATTATGCGCCACCGTTTATGGAAGTCAGTCATCTAGCCTGATGGGCAGCTGCCAATTAGGACAGTCCATTGTGCTATTTTGATATCGTCAATCGGGCCATGCATCGATTACACTCAGTGCTCATCCGCATATATCGAAATCCATCCGCATTCGTTAGTATCTAGTTCATTATCGCTGCTCAGCTCGATACGCGCGTGGACTTAGCTAGTATTCCTATAGTTTATTTGTCTTTTTGAATCCTTACGTGTGATTGACTTTCGAATAGCCATCGACTTTGCGGCCTCGAGATGACCATCAACGTCAAGATTTCCCTTTGTAGAATTACAAGAGCTAGCAAGCTCTTCCAAAGAAACTACTACCTTCCTCTGCTCAAACCCCTTTCTCCTAAAGATGCTCTTCGAAGAAAAATTATTACTGGCCAGAACGTTTTGGGAGCCAGGATCGAACATTACATCCCGGTTCTCAAACCGCACGACGAGAAACAGGCCGAAAGGAAAAGACGAGGCAAAGGAGTACCAGTCATCAAGAAACGTATCCGCAAACATGAGAAAGAACGATATGTCGAACCCTTTTTCGATGAAAACATGGAAAACCACGGCCTTCTCCAAAACATCCTTCGTCGTAAACCGAAAGGTAAGGGCCAACATTACATCTACGAAGTGATAGACAAGAACTGCAACCTGGTCATCGATTCCCAAATGGAAAGGGCCTTGAAAGACAAGGACATCCTGGATATAACCATGGCCCAACGTAGCGAGAAAATTGTAGTCAAACTAGCCAATGGGATCAAGGTCACCCTACCCGTAGCACCCTTTAACGAACACGTACCCCTTTACCGTGGTAGCGGATGGACGAAAGAATTCGTCGAACAGGAACATCACCATGGCAAGGAAACCATGACGATCGCCAAAATGTTCGAGGCCAAAGAATCCGGTGTGGAAGACTGGGAATTGGAAATGATGAGACTGGCCAATAAGCGAAAGAAGAAGAACAAGGGCGATGACCACGCTGACTGGAAAGAAATGCTTTCCGGCTGTCTGGAAAACATGGACTGGGATAAGTTCGAGGACGACACGAAACAAATCGTGGAAGAACAAGAAGAAGTCGTAGAAGAAGAGAATATCCCGATGGAAGTCAACGATATGGAGAAAACCACTAACGTCGCCGAGAAACTGAAGCAAGGTGGCTCGGAAGTGCTCAACCAGCTTCCGATCATGAAAGAAATCCCGGAGGTCATCAAGAACCTCGAAACTGGTGACATGTGCGAGCTGCAAAACGTTTCCGGGGTCAGAATGACCCTGCCCAGCAGCGGAAAAGAGTGTTTCATCACAGGCCAAATGGTCAAAACGGACGAAAACGAAGTATTCGTGCCTGGCCAGACCATCCTCAGTGAAGACGGCGCTTCTAACTACACCCCGGGCATCACCATCTTAGACAACAACGAGCCTACTCTGATCCCCGGTCTAGTGATGGGCGAGGAGGAAACAGCTCCTGTTTTCCTTCCCGGAGAGTCGACTATTACCGAAGAGGGCCAGCTGAAATTCGAGGCGACCGAAGAGGATTTGCCTAGGCGCAGGCAGCGTACCCCCTCTGACAGCCCCCCACCACCTCCCAGACCCAAACCTAAGCCAAAAGTCGAGGAGGAGATTGTCATTCGTCGGCGAGTGTTCGACGAACCGCAAGAACCTGAGCGCAAGGAAAGAGTCAAGAAGAGACCGCCAATAGAGGTGAAACGTGAGTTGACTCCTCCTAGAGAAGTCTTCAGGCCGCAGCGTCAACCAATGGAGGACCCGCTGAAGCTATTGGAGGAGAACAGGAGGAAGCGCGAGGAAGAAGAGAAGAAGAGGATGAAGGATCGGCTGGAGGAGAAGATACTGAAGGAGGAATCCAAGGTCGACAAGTTGCGATTGGACATGAGGAGGAAGTTCAAGGATCTTAAGTTCGAGAAGCCTAAAGCGTACGTTCCTTGCGAGCCAGTGAAGAAGAGCCAGAAGTTGGAAGAGCTGGAGAAGAGTATAAGGAAAGGTACGTTCTTCGACGACGATAAGACGAAGGATATTTTGGAAAAGGCGAAGAGCGCGACGAGAATGCTGAAATACCAGCATGTCATGAACCAGTTCGCGAACGATTTTGGGAGACGGTTTTAGCCGAGCATCTCGCCTAAGAGGAGCGACGCCGATGCCGATGCCAGTCAGTCACACCGCGACGACGCGATGGTAACACCTTGCGCCGAGAAGTCGATTCAAATACGATCGTCATTTTTTTGATTTGTTTTCGTTCATTTCTTTTTTTGTTACTCATTGTGCAGTGCCTTCACTTCTTAAATCATTTCGTTAATTTGGATCATCCTTTGTATTCGTTCGCCATATTCTGAAATTAAATAATCTTTAAACTTGTGTGTTGAATTTTCTGCAACATGGTCAACTACGTATTGTCTTTTTGCAAAATTACTGGAGCCAGTAAGATTTTCAAAAGAAACTTTTATCTACCTCTGCTCAAGCCTGCTACCCCTAAAGATGCTTTACGTACTTTGAGGATAACCGGCAAATGGCTCCTTGGAGCTAAAGTGCAACACTACATCCCAGTGCTGTTGCATCATTCTGAGAAAAGGTCAGACAGTTCAGACGACTTTGGCAAACAACCCCATTGTAAATCAGGTGACTACACTTACATGACTCCTAATTTAGATCCTGAAAATGATAGCCACAAAATTATTCTGAAAATTCTCGAGAGTAAAAAAAGAAGAGGGTCATTTGCTTATACAGTCGAGGACAAAAAATACAACATAGTTTTTGACTCTGATTTCGAGGATGCCATTAGAAACGGCGATATCCTAGATGTTCTAGTATCACAAAAAAATGATAAAATTATAGTCAAACTGAAAGACAGAAAAAAGATTCCGGTAGAAATACAATACTTTGAGGGTGACCAAGATGACCTTTACTGTGGTGAAGGAGCTACAAGCCCTGAAGAAGAAAAATTCCACCATCACGGTAAGTACACGATGAGTCTAGCTAAAATATTCGAGGAAAAAGAGATGCGAGAGGAAAAGTGGGAAGAGGAACTGAAAAAAATAATGAAGCGTAGGAAGAAACAAAAATGGGAAAACTCCAAAGCGTACAAGGAAATGATGAAACGCAACATGAAAAACTTGAACTGGAACAAATTCGAGGAAGAAGCTAAGAAACTCATCGATGACCTTGAGGAGCCAGGTACTGAAAAACCGATAGAGATGGAAGTAGACGATTTAGACGCGACGAAGAATGTCAACGAAACTATATTAAGACGTGGCCCAGAATTGCTCAACCAGCTTCCTACTCTCACAGAGATTCCAGATCTAATTAAGAACATGGGCAGTGCCAGCTTACATGAAATAGAAGACATTCCGGATGAACAAAATGAATCGACAAGGAAAGTCTCTGGCATCAAAGTCACCCTACCATCAGGAAAAGAATGCTTCGTAAGCGGACAAATGGTCTTAACCGAAGAAGGTGAAGTTTTCGTTCCAGGGCAAACTGTACAGGGCGAATACGGCGATGAATACGTACCTGGTATCACAACCAACGTGGGCAATCAACCTACTTTAGTAGGGGGGTTGATTATGGGGGAAGAGCAAAGAGATCCTATGTTCCTACCGTCTCAGTCTGCTATAACTTCTGATGGTCAACTCACTTTCGCTACGGTACCAGAGGAACGTCCAGTACCGTTGCCAGAAAGCGAAAGAAAACTGGAAAGAAAGAAAAAGATCAAGGAAGAGGTTCCACTAGAAAATCTGTATGAGCATTTCCAGGTAATTCTCATAGACGATGATTTTTCTGAGGATCTTTCAGAGTCAGAAGAGAAGTCTATGGACGAGTCCAGTATAGAACTGAATAATTCTGAGATTGAAGAGCTAGATATGGAAGCTATAAGGTTGAAGCAAGAAGAGCATAGAGCCCAAATGGAGAAATTGCAGCAACATTTGTTCGATGATTTGACTGACATTATCTCTAATCTAGAAGATAAAAAAGCTGAGTTGAATAGAAAGCTCGACGAATTGAGGAAACAGCACATGGTAAACCAAAATAATCTTGTAACTTATGTTAATGAGAAAGACGCTCTAGAAATAGCCGAGAGAATCTCTACGGATAAGGACTCTATAAATAGGCTGGTAGACATACTTTTGACAATGACTAGGAGATCATCGACTTTCAGAGATAAAAATAACGTAAGGACCGACAACATAGATGCGAGTTATTTGAACGATAATGCAAACGATTTCGAACTGTCATTGCACTCTTGTTCAAACAAACTAAAAGTTTTATTCAAAACAGCACTGGTAGCTGCTAATGACGTCTTCAAAAATAGACCGAAAGATCAGCTATTGGCTTTACATACCATGGGAAAAATTCTCACTGAACCGCTGAAGAATGACATAAAATTATTGTTAGAACTCACGAACCTCATGAAGACTCAGATGGATAGAGATGAAATATGCAATACAGCGTTGAAAATTCTCAGTAGAGTTGTTGAAGACACCAAAGTAGCTACTTTGAACTCAATTCTGGAAAATCCGATGTCGGTACAGGACGTACTAGAAAGTATAGAGAAAATCCTTGGGAACGATAATGTGATGCACATTTCTTTTTCCAAACTTGCAAAATTGAATTCCGAAATCGTGAAATCTATGATAGAAAATATCGAAGACCAGAGAAGCGAGTTGACTTCCGAGGAAGCAGCTGTAAGAGTACTGCAATCCTCGATTGTATACGCTACCAAAGTACTGATGAACAAGAACCTTGAAAAGTGGAAGAACAGTAACAGTTATTCGGAGCTCGTCGAAGAAGCAGCCAGCTTTGCCAAAGCACTCGGCCTGGAAGACCTCGTAGAAGATTTTTCGAAACCAATAAACGAACATGTCTTCGAAGAATCCATAGAAATGATCAGGAGAATGACCATCATCAGGCAGCTAGCAGAAAGGGACTATTCCTTGAAAACAGCGATCACTAGGATCAAGAAAAATCCAGAATGTGCAAAGTCTGACCCCAGGATCCGGCAATTGATAAGAGAAAGTGCAGTTCTGATTTCCAATCCGGCACCTTTGCTGACCTCCAGGACCATACCGTTGCAGCTCATGAAGAAGCAGAACCTTCTGGCTATCGAGGATTTCTTGGTGAAGAGAACCACTGTGGATTATCCTGTATTGATTTCCAGAGGTAGCATGCAAGCTGTTATTCCTATGGATGCTTCCAGAGGAGTACTAGCCGGTAGAGTACCTTACGTGCTCATCGACGAGAGTGGTGTTACCAATTTCAAGCCAATGCATATGAAAGCGGCCATTCAAGTGAACAAAACTCGCGAAAAAATGATTGATGACTATCTCTGTGTTGCTCGTGAAAAGTCAGCGGAAAAAGAGGAATCCTCGGCTTATTTGAAAGCCAAAAGCAATGTAAGGAAATTGAAGAAAATGTTTAACCATCGCAACTGTGCATGATCCGTATTAAAAATAAAATTGTACATAAGAAATATGTGTGTGTGTATGTAATGCGTGATGTGAAAAATCGTATCTAAGATACTAATTAGTCCTTGATATACTTATATTACTTATGTATTTTTTTCTACACCTGTGTGTATACTTGGAACCGGTGTGAATAAATAGACAGTTATATTCGAAAACAGAGATCTCGCACGGTCATATAATTTTGATACATTTCATAAACATTGATTTGGCCACCTACACGAATCGCATGGGAGTATTTTCGGAACAGTCTTTCAAAGGTGAGTCACGGAAATGTTTTCCAAGATTTGAGCTTTCATTCATTTAAGAACGTTTTCGAGTTATTTTTATATATCAGTTGGACTATCTGCTATTAACGAATTTTATGGTTTTATGAGTGGTGTAGTAATAACAATGATAATAATATAACCAAATCACGGTAGGTATACATATAGGTAAGGTATATGTATATATGGACTTGAAAACACGAAATTGAAAGCAACACTTGATATCCATATACAGTTATAACTTTCCCCGTGTGGGGATTTTTTCGTCACTTCTCAAAGCCTACAAATTTAGCAATGATGTAAAATGCAAGAAAATAATAGTTTGGTTGTTGCTCAATATTTCGCAAAAATGATAGAAACATGAATTTTTTTTTGGTTTTCAATAAAATCTTAATCTGATAGGATAACCATTTGAAATTCAAATTACTAGATGGAATATATGGAAACTTTTATACATTTTCCAAATTAGAAAAAGCAATATTTCAAGACATCCCAGCGAGCACAAAAACATCTCAGAGATGTTAAAAGTACGAGATTTCGAGACATTGAACCTACACTGCGATGTTCTGTTCACACATGAATAGAACTATTATAGAACAGCCAATGTCCGCCGCAGGCGGCAATTATCGAGATGTCCTTGATATGTCACAAAACTACCTTCTCCCAGTTCTTTTTAAAGCCTTTTCATGGACACAACAAAACATTTTCAACGCGTCTTGCGCACATTAAATCGCTGTAAAAAACATTTTCGAGGTACTTTTCTGAAGCCTTTTGTCAAAATGAACTTTTGCATTAGGATTCCATTTCCCTTGAATGAAAATTAAAATGCATTAAAAATAGATTGACCATAAAAATATTTTCATGATATGAAATTACCCTCTTAATCGGTTTCTGAGTAGTATGCTTACTGCACACAGACATATAATTGGAAATAGGTTTCCCAATTTTTGAAATGTTCTCCACAATGCATAATTTTGCAACTGCGGAGAAACTGTGTATTGATAAATTCGTACTTTTATATATTGATTACACTGAGGCACCGAACAACACATCTTGCATCTGATGGTCATTATTACAAACTAAATAAGTCTTCTAACACAATAAACTTCACCAAATTCCTTTCTGTTCGTTAGCAGCGTGATGTAGGCGTGAGACGCTGCAAACGCGAATGCCAATTGCGAACAAGAAGAACAAAATCGAAAACAAATCAGAATTCATCGTATTGTGACGTAAGCATGAGACGTTGTGGTGGGGCAAACAAAGAAAGGGCACAAAAGAACAAAAACAATACTTCCAATATCCTTCTAAGACCTCTTTGGGAAGTGCATATTACGCCTCAAAAAAACATCCTCATGCCTACATTTCTAAAACATCCCAAAACATC